CCTGCTTCCTTCAGCTCAGTTTGAGGCAGTGGATTGTTCTCCCAGTAAAGAGAACGGTTCATCCTCCAGCCGCCAGCAGCAACAGCCACAGCCACAGCAGCAACACACCCTGAGACAGAAGAACTGGAACCATAAAACACTCGTCTCCTCTCCTCCGTCCTCCTCCTCTTCTCCCTCATTTCCCTCCTCTCCTATTCTTAAACTCTCTCCTCTCACACCACCATCTCCTTCCTTCCCCACCCTCAAAATCTCACCCCTCTCACCCTCTTCAAGCCCTAGCAAACTTTCCCCCTCATCTCCTACCTCCCTCGGTGTCCCACTGGATGAGGAGGCAGCCAAAGTGGACCCGAGCTTGCCCTTGGAGAAACAAAGGTAAGGAGAAAGAGGACATACAGTAATTATCCCTTGGAAAGAGGAGTGAAATGTCTTGAATTTCAGTGAAGGAAAAAAGAGAGCATACACAAACTGTATTAACTTTGTAGGACTGAAACAACCCAAATTCTGCTGCTATGAGGTCTTCATCAGTGGTGGAAGAAGTACTCAGATCCCTTGCTAGTAGTAATAGTAGTAATACCACAATGTAAAAATACTGTTACAAGTAAATGTCCTGCATTCAAAATGCTACTTAAATACTGTCAGTGTACAAAGGTATTAGCATAAAAATATATTTCAAGTACCAAAAATAAAAGTACTCATTATGCAGAATGGCTCATGTAAGGAGTACAAAGTACAATATTTTTACTCTGAAATGTAGTGAAGTCAAAATATGAAGTAGCAGAAAATGAAAATATTCAAGCACTCAAGTATACCTCAAAACTGTACTTAGGTACAGTATTTGAGTAAATGTACTTGGTTACTTTTCACCTTTGGTCTTCATCAGGAAAATGGCTAAAGATCAGGTATGCATCATGGTCAACTGACCAAAGTATGTATATACAGTATTTACACCTTCTGTAAGACACTTAAGACACATTGTCAAAAAGCAAATGGCTTCAAAAGCAGCTGAAGAAATCACATATTTGATAATATGAAATATATTGCTTAATTGTAAATTATGAATTCAATACACCTGCCTGACTACAAATAATATGATAAAGTAGAAAAAATCATCTTCTTGCTCCCAATAAATGTAGGAAATTACCACAGTTATAATAAGCATTTTTCATGGAACAGAGTCAAAAAATGTTTTTCTGTTCATGAATTAATCTGTGGATAGACTTGTTGTTGTTGATCTACCTCTCACCCACTGCATGCTGGGATGAGAGATAGCTCCCAAAACAACCTTGAACAGTATTAGTGGAACGAGGGATTTAAACAAATGAGATGAGGGTTGAGACATTTACTTACCATTATCTCATGCCTGTGTATTGTCTGTGCTTATCGAATTACCACCACATTTCTCATGATCTCTGCAGACTTATTAAGCTGCTTTCTGTGTTGCTCCACTCGTATTTGTCACCATGATAAAAAAAGAAGCATGGGTTTTGGTCTTTACACTGTCTGTGTTTGGCTGAAACAGTGAGAGAACAGCGCCCTCATCCGTTTAGGCTGCACAGCAGTTTCCCTTTGAAACAGCTGTAAAGCAGTCAAGCATTTGATCTGCTGAAACACAGGCTGCCAATCATCTTGGCTAAAATCTTGCACTTGGCACTTTAGAAAGGCTTTAATGAAACTGGGTGTTTATTAATGAGTGCATAAGCTAGTGGCAGCTCCTGGAGTGTGGCATGACTGAGTAGATATGAGGGACTGGTTTTACCTGTAAACATACTTCCAACATTTTGTTAACAGTAGGTCATTTTCAGATGGAACCTGTGCACAACATGCTCAGAGCATGTTAACATTTGTTCCTCTTGGATTATGGCTGTTTTTGCCTCCTAACAGCAAAGTCACATATAGCCTCTTCACATGTGGCTTTAGCTTGTAGCCACTTTCATCTCTACAGTACCTTGTGTCTTAATAGGGCTTAACACTGCACAACCACAGCCACATGCATTTTATTGATATCTATGACTATGACGTATGACAAGCTCACATTTGACATTGTTACCTCATCCAGTCAGAAACATTTGTCTATCTGATTTACAGCAACTGTAAACTTTGTTGGTGTCACTGCATTTCGTTCTTCCCATCAGTCTCTTTCTTGTTTCTCTCACCATCATCACCTATCATAGACATGACATCTGACTTGCCTCCATATGTCACTGTGTTATATGTCAGTGATCTGCTGTCTCTCTCTCTCTCTCTCTCTCTCCCTCTGTCGTCCCCCATCCTCCATTGCCTCCCCAAGCTGGTACCATGGCAGTGTGAGCCGGCAGCAGGCTGAGGCTCAGCTGCAGCGCTGCAGGGAAGCTAGCTTCCTGGTGAGAGACAGCGAATCAGGAACCAGCAAATACTCTATTGCCCTGAAGTGAGTGTGCAAATGTGTGTATTTCTCTGGTGTGTGTGTTTTGAACACAGTACATGCAAGCTATATAATGCAATATGTTTGTATTTATTTATAGTGCTCTTTTATCTGCCCTTGATTTGCTGCTCATTTTACCTTCATCTGAGTAACAACAGTGTCAGTGGAACTCATTTTGGGTTTCTTGATTTTTATTTTTTCTTTAATGATCTAACATGGGCATGGGCAGGAGATTTATCCTATGTCATACCGTGTATTTTAGAGAACATATATGAATAGATTAATTTCTATTAAATATATTTAGGCTTCAATATTCACTGAGTTTGTGTTACAGTAGTGACAACCTCTCAGATATTAATGCATGAGAATGTGCGTCATTTGTTGAGTAGACACCTGGCCAGACCCTTCTCGGTTCTATGGGATAAAGACTGAAATCCTGTGTGCCATTTTATGTGCATGTGCTGTGCACCTGAGAGCAAGCACATGTGTCATTAGCTGCATATTCATGCGGGAGTGAACATCATTAACCCCACTTATACATCCACTGCAAATGCACAACCTGATTTGGGGAGAGACAGATCATTTCATCAAGCAAGATCATTTCTTTTATTTACAACATCTGTGTTTTGTTTCTGTTCTTCTGCATCTTATACAGTAACTCTTTAATGTTGCTGTCTGTATTTTATTTGCAAGCCTGTTATTTGTAACTAAAAATTCTTTTGGAATTTTGTGCCTTTCTTTCTTGTTCCTTTAGGACCAGTCAGAGTTGTGTGCACATCATTGTGGCCCAGACTAAGAGCAGTAAGGGCTTGGCCTACACACTGGATCAGAGCAGCGGCGTCTTTTCTAGTATCCCTGAGCTGGTCCACCACTACTGCACACACAGACTGCCTTTCACTGGAGCAGAGCACATGACCCTGCAACATCCTGTACCCAGGCCACACTGAACATGCGTGAAGGACAAACAAAACACACTAGGACAAAAGTATGCATATTCAGACACAAGCAGAGACGTATGATGTGTTTATGCACAAACATACAGACACACATAAACTTGTTAATATTAGTATATACATACATACTGTGACAAATTAAAGGAAAAACCAACATAAAGTGTCCCAGTAAGGTGTTGTTCCACCACGTGCCACCAGAACAGCTTCAGTGCTTCTTAGCATTGATTCTGTAAGTCTCTGAACTCTACTAGAGGGATGAACACCATTCTTCCAAAAGATATTCTCTCATTTAATGTGTTGATGATGGTGATGGAGATGCTGTCTGACACGTCGCTCCATAAATGTCCGATAGTTGTTCAGCTGGGCTGAGATCTGGTGACTGTGAAGGCCACAGCATATGATTAACATCATTTTCATCAAACCATTCGGTGACCCCACGTGTCCTATGGATGGAGGCACCGACATGTCATTTATTCAGGTTTTTCCTTTAATTCATCCCCTGTTTGTACATACTCAAAGATATTCTGGTTTGTGTGTACCACCTTATTAAGTTTATTCAGTATGTTTGTAACGCTTCCATGCAGCTACCTAGTGGCCAAAAATAGACACTCCAGTAACCACTGATCTCATTGTTCTAGTGCTGTGTCTGATCTAAAATTGACAAAAAAAACAAAAAAAAAAACACCAACACATACACACAATCACAGGCAAGTTAACCCTACAGACCATACTCAGCACCATGAAAACCAAAGTGGTCTCTGTAATCCTGCAGTGGGACCCACAAGAGACTGCCCTTACTATAACCAATGTGATATATCAACTAAACCTACCAATCTCCTCAAGAATACACTTACACAGATGTGCTGATGTCATCAGTTAGTACCATGCCATCAGTTAGGTCTTAGTCTGAAAGATCAATACACCTGATTGGAGTATGTTCATTCATCCATCACATCAATCAGCCTATTGATCTGTCTTGAATATCAGGCTCCTTTTACAACCACTTTGTCTGTCAAGAGAGTCTTATTAATTAGATGATTAGACGTACTGTAGTAGGAGAGGATGTATACCATCACAATACCCAGTCTGTATGTAAGTGTGCAAATGATTATGTGAATATCAGGCATTTATGTGCCTTCACTGTAAACTATGAATCTTTTGTGATTAAAAGCTATCATGCTTTATTGTGAATGAACTGACCTGGCTTACACATAAATGTACCTACTGTATTCAGAAATTATGCCTTTATGAAGTGACACACACACACACACACACACAGTGATATGGGCTGCATTGTTGTAAGACTTTTATTCAGTAAATAAAGTAAAGATTATATTAACTGAAGACAAACTGTGTTATTAAAAGGCATGCGGGCAGCAAAAGTCAGAGCAGGGCTCTGGGAAGAAATGGTAAATGGACTGTATTTATATAGTGCATTTTTCCACTGGCCAAAGCGCTTTACAGGAGATGATACACCATTCACCCACAACATTCATACACCGGTGCTAGTCAAGCCACCGAGAGTAATTCAGGGTCCAGTGTCTTGCTCCGGGACACTTAGGCATGAGGGGAGACCGGGTGTCAAACCACCAACTTGCTGGTCAGGAGATGACTGCCCTACCTCGTGAGCCACAGCCACCCCAAGAAGGCACTTAAACAGATAAACGAAGCTAACCAGAAGGAATCGTTTTGTTTTTCTCTGTAAAGCCAAGTGACCTGAGTGAGAAATCAATTACAGATATATACACACATGCACATGCACTCGTACATTTGTGTAGTCAGCAAATCCTGACAAACCTGAGCACACTTAAGCACACATCCAACATGCAAACACAAATAGCGTACTCACACACCCCAGGAGGTGGTGTGTTTAAATCCTGGCCAACACATACACACATGAAGCTGCTCACAAAATAGAAAGAAGCTTGATTCTCATAATGATGCATGGAAGCATGTTTGTGGTAAGATACTGTATGTGTTACCAGCAAACACCAGTATACTTGTTTACATGAGTGAGTGTCCAAGCGTGGATGTGCCCATGTGCATCTATGTGTGCATGCAGACCTGTGTTATGTGTGTGTGTGTGTGTGTGTCCTTGTACTTGTTACATAGTGAGGACCAAAAAAGTATTTTTTTTTTTGCTACAGAGTGAAGACATTCCTGGAAAGTGAGGACATTTTGACCAGTCCTCACGTTCTGAAACACCTTTTTTTGAGGGTTAACTTGGTTTTAGGGTTCAGGTTAGAATTAGGCTTAGGTAGGGTTAGGCATTTAGTTCTGATGGTTAGGTGTTAGGGTTAGGGGCTGCATTATGTCAATGAGTATCATCACAAAGATAGAAGTACAAGTGTGTGTATGTGTGTGAGAGGGAGTCTGAAATTTTCTCTTCAGGGATTACCAGGTTGCCATGGTGATTGGTTAGAGTGCGGTAGGGTCATCTCTACAGGGATTGAGGAGAAGGGGGAGAGTGGAAAAGAAAGAGGGAAGAGAGACAGACTATAATATATAAAAAGCTATGAATAACCATGGCCATAGTAGCAATGTAGCTCCTCCATAGAATAGCCTGCTTGGTTTATGAATGAACAGCGGCAACATGCAATCGAAGTGTCATAAATTACTAAGTAATTCTCTTCTAAACAGTTTTTGTAGTACCTCAATCGAAGGCTCAGAGCGCAGGATCGACTCCAGAGCGAATCCTGCTCAAAGACACTTCAGCAAAGCAGATGCTTACCTTTGCATGGGATTAAAGTCAGATTTTCTATTTGAGGGGTCATCTCTAATCTCCACCATCATGATACCCAGAGTCTCACAAGTGGCAAAGTTACACAACAGCAAGCATCACTAATTATCATCCCTCCTTCCACCCATGTGATTTGTTTTAACTCGTCCTCCCTGGTTTCTTAATTAAATCACAAAATGGGTCACAACAAACAGGCCTAGGGCATTGGACACATGATTCTCACAGTGTTTTCAGTATGTTTATAGGAATGTTCAGTGTCCATCCAGCCTACAATTCCAAATGCTGTCTTTTAGGTTTTCTTAAGTTTACATGATCTATCATCACAAATTTATAAATCTAAAGGGCTAAGAAAAATCTCTTATGATGAATAAACATTTTTAAGACCCAGTAGAGTATTTTAAAACTGCACTGGGATGTTTTTCATAGCCCATACTTACATACTTTGTTTTCACTGGACACCAGTACTATGCATAATGTCAGTCACACACATTATGGATATGCATTTATAACATATCAGTGTTGATATTCTGATCATTCACTTAGACAAATATTTTGTGTGCCTTGTTGAGCCTTACACCTTTGCTCAGTCTTTGAATCATAGATCAGATTTTGATGTTGTTAATCAAAGTGTTGCCCATATGACAGAATGACAGGAAGTAGTCGCAGCCACCAAGAGACAGAATGACAGTGTGAGAAGGGAGGAAGGGACAGAGGAATGTAGAGAAAGAAGGAGAGCGTGAGGGGGTGTCAGGAGAAGACAAGCACTTGTGGGGGCCCCAGTTTGTAAATAATTCAGCCAGAGACTCAGAGCACTCAGTGCAGACGAGCAGCACTGTCAGGTCAGCTCATTCACTGCAGAGGAGAGGTAGAGAGGGAGAAAGGAGAGGACAGCCCAGAGAGACGGAGTGAGGACGTGTGATAGCATGACAGAGACATTACTGTGGAAGAGTTTTCCGGTGCATCCATGCATATGTGTGTTTGTGTGGGGCTATATTTGCTGTGTGTAAGTGGGTGTGTTGTGTGCCAGCCTCACATGTGTATTGTCCTTTGTGTGTCAGAGATGAAACTAGACAAAATGGAGGAGAAACAGGTCGTTTGCTCCCGGAGCTTTCTGGTTTCTCTTTAGTCACCATGGCAACCACCTCCTCCCTTCGTCCTGCACTTCTCTTTACTTTGTTTATGCTTACCCCATCGACCCCTCCCTCCCTGCCTGCCTCCCACGCTCTTTTCTCTCTCCTCCTCTATCTGTCTATTGCCAGAACAGTTAATAAGCTTCTATCTACCCATCCTAACTTGTGTCTACCTGGCTACTCTTCATTCTTGACTTACCGTCTGCCTGTTCTTTCCTCCCTCTGCATTTTCCATCATCTCCCATCTTACATGTTAGACTTTGTGAATGTGGATTAAAGGTCACTTCAGTAGCCTAGAGGGGAAAAAACTAAGAAAAAAAAAAGGCATTTAGTGAAAGATAAGTGACAGAAGAAAGTGGAAAATAGATAATTAAAGTAGAAGAGAGCACATAGTAAAAGAAAAGCCAGTTTTCTTCGGAATGTGAAAATTATTCACACAGCAATTATTGCATTGGGCCCCAGCAGTCCTAAACAGGTGGTGTGAAATTATTTTAGTGGGTAAAGATGTGAGGTGTGACAGATATACACAGAAACAGAGGCAGGAAGATTGGCACCTCAACACATGCTGTACAGATAATTATCCATGTCATGTCCTGAGAGTGATTAATTTATCATTAAACCCACACCCAGTACCATTCTGAAATCCACTGGATGTGTCCCAACTGGTCCAGAAAGACAATGCAGATATCATTATATTAAACTGCTATATATATTTGAATATCTCTGTCTTTGAAACTCATTGTAATATTCTAAACCCAGACTTTTATCCCTAACATTATCCCTGACTATAAAAAGCCTACATGGGCACACACAAACAACACTTCACTTCACCTTAAACATCTAAAATAATGCATTAGAAAACTAAAACCCTGTAAATAAACCATTGCTGTTGCACAGTCCCTGCCCCTCCACATGTTTTTGCCTGACATCAGCACTTTTGGAACTGTCCCACTTTAGGAAACCTGCTTCCTAAAGCAGGGCAGTGGAAAATTTCCTTAAAATAACATATGAAGTACATTTAGACCTTATTTTAATATCATAAACACATCCTGATAAAAAATTAGCGGGATTGTTTTATTTATAAGAAATTCATACTCTTAACATCAAGTCTGTCTATACGTTACGTCAGAGGGAGTGTTACCTCTTTGAGGATATACTGTAACATAATCTATAACCGGACATTTGAGAAGCCATTTGGTTTTGATAACATGACATCACAGCTTGTGCTAACCCACAACGTTCATTTGTTTGAAGAAGACCTACAGGTGCTGGAGCTTTGGTGTCCCACTTTGGGGCAGCTCACCCTAAATGTACTTAGGCCCCCCTCCTCAAGTCCTTGATGCAGATGTTATCACATGTAGGCTATAGCTCAGTGGGTCATACATAGACAAACTGCCTGCACACTGACAAAACAGAAAAAAGGCCCAGCAACAAAAATGTATTGAATGAATGTGTTTAGAAAGTGATGCGGTGAAAAATGTGAATAGAAATGAACGTTTTGGTCAAGAGACTATCATCAGCACACCTTACAGACCCTGTGATTTTACAGGCTGATTTTACAGAAAAAGAACTGTAGAGTATGGTAAACTTTGAAAGACATAATATAATTTACCACTGGTACTACAAAACCGGAATGGGAGTTAATCCTGAAGCAGATAGAGGTGTCAGACATTATAAAATCACTACCGAGCACAAACACTGTACGTGTCAAAGTGTACCCCCTCCCTCTCCCACGATCGCCCCCCTCCCCCCAGCGCGTTGCATCGCTGAGCAGTGCTCAGCACGGACACCCAGGCACGGCACGACCCAGCGCACAACGGACCTGGCTCCGCCGAGATATTTATGTTTTCCTTTTATCAGGCGAGAAGCATGAACCGATAAAGAGCCCGACGTCACCATGGCAGCTGGAGAGTGAAGGGGGGCTTGGATCGTGAGGAGGAGGGGAGTGACACTGCTGGTGTGTTGGGGGTGGCCTCTTCATCCCGGTGAACAGCTTTCGGGCGCGGAGCGCTCCCGGACGCACGTATGATGATGGACGGCTGGCCGCCTCTGCTGCTGCTGCTGCTGGCTCTTCTCGCCATTGCGGGGGGTGAGTAACTTGTCCGTCGGATGCGCTTGTTGTGCGCATCGACACCTTTACTGGGCCAAAAACCGCCGTGCGTTTGTGCAGGGGATCAGGATGTGTTTCTTTAAAGTAATGCGGGAGTAGGTGTGAAGACAACAGGAGTGGCTGGATGCTGAGGGGAGGCAGAGGTGGAGAAAATGACTTTCATTGCTGTGTCATCTTTCTCAGCAGCAGCGAGCGCGATGGAATGATGTTGCGGAGAAATATTGCCCACTCCACTTAACCTAATGCACAGACAGAATATAAAAACACATGCAGTGGCTAACGTGGTAACGTGGTAACGTGGTTTGCATTAACTGTTTAAAACCTGTGAGAAACTGTTGTTGCTGTTGGTTTCTGTTGTACATATATATGGAGTTTACACACCTTTATAAAGCAACACCATGTGTGTACTGGTACTGCATCACAGTAAGATTACTGTATGGATTTTTTTTTTGTCAGTGTAACTTAATT